TAAGGGTCAGCGAAACATACTTCCTCATAAATTTAAAATAACTTTTTTTTTTTAACAGCTTTTAAACAGATGTAACAATCAATTCCAAAATCTGAACAGTTCTTTAATTTAAAAAACGACGTTGACAGCTGCAAACTGCATCAAAATCGGGCGATGTGTTGAAGAGAAATCGTATACTAATTATTTTAAAAAAGTGTCTTTTTCAAATAACATCAAATTTATTCTTGAATTATTTTTGATGACATAATTTAACTATAAGTGCTCAGAAAACTGAGTCAGAGGCCGCCAATTGTTTCAAAATCATTTGGTGCGCTTGTGAGGTATTTAATTTAAAAAGTAAAATCTTCAGGCCTACAAGATTATTCAACTTGAAGAAATTTTCCTGAATCCCTAAACCAAGAAAATGAGTGCAAAAAAAATTACGAATCTTTTTTTCGTGTTATTACTTTGAATTGCGTGAGAACTATGAGGCTAAAATTTTTTTCATCGGGTGTTCCAAATACTAGAATCTCAAGTAGAACGTTTTTTTTTTTTTTATCTTGATATTATTTTTACTCAAGCGAAACCCGTCAAAAATTACGAAAAAGTTTTAAAATTTTTTTTACTAACTCAATTTTTGTTAGGAATATATTGTTTCAACTAACAATGTCTCTTTTTTGGGTGATTTGTTCCTCTCTTTAGGTTCTTTCGTAGACTTATCGATAAGAAAATGTTATTTTTTAACGATATTTTATTTTCGGATGAAGAAATTTTTTTTTCACTCTTTCAGGGAGTACCCCATTTTGCCCGCGAAAAAAAAAAATTTTTTTTCGACGGCAACTTGAAATTTGATTATTTTCCTTTAATTACGACTGAAAACGAGAAAAATCAGCGTATTCAAGTCCTTAAAATCATAACGATTGCTTAAGTACCCCATTTTGCCCCCTCCCCTCCCCTAAATAATTTTTCAACATTTAATGTTATACATATTTATCAACAGTTAATAAACATTTGTTTACAATTACTAAATAATTATTATCTGTTAAATGATCCTTTTATTAGGTTGTTAAAAAAATATATTTAATAAATCAAAATAAATTGAGTTAAAAAAGTTTCCTCTAGATGGTTAAAGTTCTTGTAGTTAGAATTCTAAAATATGAGTTTTTCGCATGCCAAAAGGTAAAAGAGGGCATAATTTTTTTTTTTATCACCAATCAACTGGTAGACATATTCTTTGCCAAAAAATGAAACATTGATTTCCTAGCTTAAATTCTAATACTGGCCCATGCTTGACTACCGAGGATGAACCCATGTAATAATAATAATAATAATAAAAATAATAATTATTATTATATTTAATGTATTGAATAAACAGTCATACGGATATAAATGTGTTTATTTTTTATAATTCATATAAATAATAAACACCATAGTTATTTTACTCAACATTTATATTCTAATAATATAATTCTAAGGTAATATTATCAAATATTATAACTTTTTTTTAATTATTACAACTTTGATTTGCACTTAATGATAAATAACAAAATTTTGATATGTTTAACTTATTTGCATAAATATATCAATAATAATTTTTTATTATTTAAATTATCCAAGTTTAAGTGCAATACCAAATACGTGTTACAAGCTATCTCGAGATCAATTTTTTTTATAAAACTAAAATATTTTTTATATATTTATTATCATTATTTAAGAATTATTCATTTAAAATTTTACTTAACATTTGTATTCTAATGATATAATTATAAGGTAATATTATCAAATATTAGAACTTTTTTTTTAATAAACAAAAAAATAATATTTTATATTTTTTGAATATGTTTATAATAAATTAAAAATCATAGTTACTCTGTCATTTCATTAGTTTTGTTTTCACGGAGAGCCCGGCCGCCTTCTCTGTCTTTGGCACCCGATAAAAACTTACTCACCCAACTTATTATCTCCAGTTTTCTTTGGGAAGCATGATGTTTAGCCCGCAGAAATTCTGGAACAATAAACACAGTTATAAAATCAAGATTCAATATTAAATCAACCATCAACTCACCTTCTATGATTTTGAAAGACTCTGTGTCTTTAAAACTTCTTTTACCAACACCCTTGAATCTTTTACCGCACCCGCTGTACAGTAGCTGAACATCTTTTTTTTATCAGCTTTCCCATTATTTGATTGATATCATGCTCACAATCAGTTGACCCAGCCGTTATCATTTGAAAGACATCAATCTGTAAATAATTAAACAAACAATATTTAAAATATTTTTAAATAACTTGTAAATGATAAATGATAAGTAATATTTAAACAATTAGTAAATAGTACAAATATATAGTAAATAGTGTAAATAGTATATAGTGTAAATAGTATAAACATTTGTAAATTTTTTTAACTACCAAAGAATTTTTCTTCTGCTTATCCGTTATTAAAGATTCTTCGAAAGCCAAGAATTTTTCGAGAGAATCAAATGGCAAAGTGTTGCTCAGGTCTTGCCAGGCTTTTTGTACCGCAGGTGCTTCACCGGAGTATTGAATGGTTTTCAATAGTTTTTCGAATTTATCTGTCATGGACAGCTCAAGACTTTGTCTCATTTTTTTAAATTCTTTCTGAACCACACCTTGCAGAAAATTCGCTAGACCATTGAAGTCGACAATGTCTGTAATTTATACAAAAAGGTTGCCATGATAAAAATATTTCAAGTTTAAAAAATTATAACGATAATAATAATAATAATAATGATAGTAATAATATGATAAGAATAATTATTATTTTATGTAATATAAATGCATAATAATAATAATAATAATAATAATAATTTTATTAAAATATCTGCCGATAGCTAATCAATAAAACAGTTTCAAATACCTTGTCGATTCGTTGGCAGCGATTTTGGCATTGTCTTGTCTTTTCGAGAAAATGGCTCAGTATTGTTAGTGGTAACATTATTAGCTGCATTATTATCCTCCGCCGATGATTCTTCTAAAATATCCTCAATGGATGGATCACGCATCAGCGGCATTGGATTAGCTTTAGCTAAAGTCTTAGCGACCCTTGAAGATTTTGTGATAACTATCTGATCATCTCGACTTGCTTGTGACTCACTTTCAGAACTATCACCGTTTCTTTTTTTTAAATACTTTTTTAATTTACGATTACCTTTTTTGTAATCTTCTGCAATAACAATAAAAACAATATAACGTATATTACAAATAATTAAATATAAAAATAACTAAAAAAATGTATAAAACTAAAGATTTAGCTAATTTCAATTTTTTGATTTTTTTTAAACAATTAAATTAGAAAAAAATATATTTTTAAAAAATTGCACTACAGTTTTTTTTGTTTATTTTTTTATAATAATTTCTTCAATAAAAAAAAATTTTTAAATGTCGGCTAACTTAATTTCCATAAAAAATGTCATGGATTAAAAAAAAAATAAGATTATAACAATGTCATGAATAACAAAAATAATTAATACTTTAAAAATGTATTTGATAAGTATTAAAAAGTTAATTAGAAAGCAAAGAACAAGATCATTTAAAGAAAGTAATTGATGCATCGTTTTACTTACTTGCTTTAGTGATAATCGCGATTGGATATGTATCCCACGTGTCATCAGCATCAGCTTGAATTTCAATTAATTCCTTTGACTTATATTCTAGGTTTGTAGGCGGCCAAAAACATAACGTTTCGTCAGATGTTAGCCAAGAAATCGGAACTAATTCTACCACTTTTTTGCCATCAATAAATATTTCGCAGAATTCAACTACTGCGTAGAGTTTTGGCATATTGGACATTTTCGTTATTTCACAAAAATTAGCGCTTTATAATCCACAGACATTAAATGTTAAAAAGCTGAAATGCACTTGTCTGCTCCCGAACGCAAGATGAGACTGACTAACTAAAACTGTCTAAACATAAGAAAGTTCAACAAGTCACCGATCGACATTGAATTTCACTGTAAAGTGACACCTCTTTCCCGCGTACACGAATGTTGCATGAAACGGACCAATAACACAACTCTTTTCATTGTTTTCTCACGTACACACTTATACATACATATTTATATCAACGTATGTATATATCTAACATCTATACTTATGTTTCTCAGATTTATAGTTTACAGTGGAAAAGACACAAGTATAAAAATAAATAAAAGAAACAGAGAATAAAAATGTTCAATAAAGAAAAGGACCGATTTTTTCTTTGTCTCTTAATTTATAATTTTTAAATAAATTTCAATTAACTAAAAAAAAGTAACGATTTAAATTTAAAGAAAACAAAATCATTGTTTATATTCAATAATAAATTATTAATCACAAATAAAGTTATGATATCAGAATTTCAAATAATTCACAGCACTTTAGTTTAAAATTTAGAATTTAAATAAAATGTTAGAAGTTAAAAATCGTTTATTAAACACAAATTATTAACTGTTAATCAATATTTATTTATAGTTAATAAGCATTTGTTAACTGTTAATAACTACTTTTATTAATAGTTAATAAACGTTTTTTTGAAACCCTTCAATAAAAACTGCGTATAAAAATTAAACTTCGACATCTTTTATAACCCGATAATTTCAATAAATAATTCTTGCTGATCAGAATCATTAATTATTTTTAAATAAAAAAAATACACGGAATAAAAATTAATTATACAACCTACAATATAAAAATAGTAACTCCTACTATCTAAAATGGTAATAAAATTAATTAGTAACAAAATAATAGGTATCATTGACAATTGTAATAGTTACTATTAATAATGGTAATGATTACTATCAAAAATAATAATTGTAATTATTATAAATTATAACTGTTAAATATTAAAAAATTTTTAGGCTATTTTCAGATAACATCACAGTGGCAGCTCCGGAAAATTATTATGGAGCGTCTTTAAATTGTCTCAAAATTATCTTAAATTAGTCTTAAAAAAATCTTAACAAAAAATTTAGACTATTTTAAGATGGGTTAACAGCGACAGAGCCCCGGAACATTAAAACGGAACGTCTTAAAAAAGTCTTAAAATTGTCAGATAATAATTTTTTAACAATTTTAAATTCAATTTAAAACTATCTTACTCAAAAATATTGCGGTTAGAAAGTCGTAAAATCATCTAAATTAATCTAATTAATATATCATATAATTTTTTCAGTGATGAAAATAATTAGCGTATTTTTATTGTACTAAATTATGGAATTATTTTTTATGTATGATTTTTTCATTAACATTTTTTCATTAACGAGACATATCCATTCCAAAAAAATTAATTACCTGTTAATAAATATTTATTAACTTCAATGAATGTACTTTAAAAAAAAAAAAATATTTATTAACATTTAAATAATATTTAGTTATATTTAATAAAGGAATAAAAATTATTTCCAAATAAAATGATCGATCAGTGTATTAATGTCAAATAATTTTTATCAATTAAAATATAAATTAATGAATACTTATTATCTTGACCATAATACTGATATTTTACTTTATTAATGAATAAATAATGAATTTGACCGTTGAATTATGAAGAAACTAAAGTCAGAATCGAAGTCTGTAACTTGGATCTCCTGATGATCGAACATGATATGTGACTCGTTTGTAGCAAGACGTCAATTGGGTCAGTGAGTATGTCCATCCGATTACTCATGTCCTCCATGTAGTGCCATTAAGGTCTCAGTATATCACACATATCACATATATTTATAAGGTATAAGATGGTAAATTCCACGGTTGTAATTAAAATTCTCGGGCATAAAAAATGATCCGGTTAAAAGAAAAATAACCAGATTAAAGATTAAACTTGACACTTGACGATACTTTTCTCATTTTTTATTATCATTATTATTATTAATTTAGATGCCAATTACAGGGTAATCGAGAGTTTTAAGAGTCTTGCTCAAAAAGGGAAGGAATAATGTATAATATAATGGTGTAACTCGCGTATCCAGAAATCGTAAAACACGTCGTAACTATTATATATTTTATTTAAGAGAGTACAGTGTGGGAAAAAGTCCTTTTGATGGTTCAGGAGATCTGTAAGATCAGTAGATCGTTAAGGATTTAGGTTCGGGTTTTATTGATATTATTTATTGTTATCGTTGGATTAATTAAAACAGAGGCTTTTTGTCTATGTGAATTTTATTTCGTTTTATCGAGAGAGTTTAATGGTTTTGTTCTGTTTTATAAGTTAATTTTTAGACATAAAATTGTTTACAACAAATTGTTTGAATTTGAATCTTTTAATTTTATTTTTTAAAAACATCTGAATTTAAAATATTATTAAAGATTCAATTTTTGATTATTTTAAAAATTGGATTATATATTTTTGCAAACTTTTACAATGTCCAAAATTGAAATTTTTAAAAGTTCAATCCCTTGGAAATATAAAAAATTATATCTTTTGGAAATATAGAGAAGGAATTTTTGGAGACATCAACAATTCAATTTTTTATAATATCTACGATTAAAATTCTCAAAAATTTTATTTTTTGAAAATGTAAAAAAGTAATTTTTGGAAACGTAAAAAATTCAATTTTAGTAAATATGAACAAGCATTTTTGAACACATCAAAAATTTAATTTTCGATCATATTCTAAATAAACGTTTCAAAAATTCAATCTCTTAAAAATTCAATTTTTCGAAATATCAAAGCCAAATTTTGGTTTTTTATAAATTGAACTTAATTAATATTTAATAAATATTAATTACTTAATTAATTAATATTAATATTAACGAAATTAGCATTTCCAAAAATTTCTTAACATTTACAAAAATCTAATTTTTGACGTTTTCAAAAATTCCTTCACTATTTTACAAAAAATTGAATTTTTGAAAATTTTCATCTTTACTTTTATTTTTCTAAAAATTTCAATCTGGGATATTTTTACAAAACAGATTTTGATTTTTCCAACAACTGAATTTTTAATACTTCTAAAAGATTGAATATATTAATTTTTAACATGTTCAAAAATTTTACATAAAATTTCCAAAATTGAATTTTTACCTCCAAAACTTTAAATTTCATCAATCAATACCTTAAAAAAAATCTTTGACCTCAAGTAGCATTAATACCAAAAAAATTATCACCCGAACGGTATTTTCTTATCGAACTAAAAGTTCTAGATCACCAAATACCTGTGACCACCTAGAGCGGTCATTATCTCACCAGCAATAGAGATATCCCAAAAATACTTCCGACACAAAAAAATAATTACTGCCTAAAAAAAAGTGTAATTAAAAAGGAATATAAATTATCAAGTCATTAACAAAAGAAACTACTAATGTGTGTCAAAATAAATCCCAATCATCTTATCATCAAATTAAACCAAATCAATAATGATATAGATAATCCGTAATCAATAAGCCGTAAAGTAAATTATTTTAATTGGAAAAAATAATAATATTTTTAATTAAAGAATAAATAATATAATATCAACAAATATACAAATGAATCCAATTAGAGCAGCTTGCTCACATGATTTAATTATCTTGTTAGACGGAACGGAAAACCCGACATTCGTTTGCGCTCGTCGATCAATTATCTGCGATGTTTTCCTGTTATATACGCTTAACGCTTAGCTCAACTCTCTCGTATTGCCAGTAACTATTTTCTTTACACCAAACGCCCTGCTTTGATTTATTCCTTGTAATTTATAATCAAGATCAGTCTCTACAACCATCGACAAACTCCTCCTATTAGTTAACTTTGTCATACATAAATTTACTTTACAAAGATACTTGATTACTATTTTTTTTTTTTTAATTTTATAATTGTAATTTTTTTTTCGTTTCAGGTTTTGAAAAAAATGATTTGGAAGGAATTCATTCTTCGCATTTCGGTGAGTTGATTTAAATAAATTTTTTCAATCATTATTTTTGTTTTTTATTTATTACCAAAAAAATATTTAAATTAATTACAAAAATTATTATCGATGATTTATCTAGTACTGCCACCGAGAATCGAACCTGTGACCTCCGCGCAAGAGTTTTCAGCCTTTGACCTATCGCTAGTACTTCGACTTTAATGACATTTTATTAGAAAATCAAACCAAATTTATGTAATTCACATAATCTAGAACGATCTGAAGATTTGCAAATTATTAAAAATAGAATAAAAAAAAATAAGGAGATGTTAAAGTTTTTTGTGAGTGAACTGTTAGCATAAATCCCCTGACATGTGATTGAACCTTGACATTTCAGTAAATGAAATAAAAGCTAGGAGACGGCTCTGATTTATGGAGATAATCGATCGATAAATATCCGATTTCGTCATACATCCTCTGTGGAGCAGGAGCTGAAGGGAAATGTGCAATTTGTATCCGGGATGTCCTTTCACTGGATGTGAGAATCTACAAATATCCTGATATACTAGCTCTGTTTGTAACAACACGGCTTACATTTTAAAGGTTAACTTTTTTAAAATAAAATTGTATATCATTTGTCAGGTATTCAAAAAGTTTGAAAATCATTTTTGGAAAAGGCTTTACAAAAAAATTTTTTTTCTCGAAGGCTTAAAAAACATTTTGAACTAACATATTTTCATACAAAACTTAATAAATAAAAAAAAGTTTGGAAAATCCAAAATTGCACGACTCATAATGCTCATTTAATTATAAAATATTAAAAAAAAAAAAAAAAAAACATAAGTCGTTCAAAATTAGTTGCCGAAAAAACAGCTGTACTAGGAAGGTACTGCACAAGCGCCTCTGGTGGAATAAATGTACATAATATCTATAGATATGTCACCATCTATGTTAATTTTACATGGATATATATAGATATACAGTCTTGTA